TACCCACGCTGCCACTCTTAAGAGGCAGGCCTCGGGAGCCTCCTTTTATGGATTAGGGATTAAAAAGTCAGGGCTTAAAATCAGCTAACTTGCCTAAGGTCATTTGGCCAGGGACAGTGGCCCTAGATTTGGCAGTCAGCTCAGGGACACCTAGCAGGGATAACGAGCACCTCCCAGAACACTGCCTTGCCTCTGGGGGCTGCTGGGGGCCAGGGGCCAGAGCTGGGAGTGTGGCTTGGCCTCAGGGCTTGGGCTGGAATTGCCTCTCAGGCTCAGTGGCACCTCATTGGGGTCTGGCCCCAGGACTGGTGCTGTAATTTTTGGCACCCGGTGCAAAATGAAAATGTGGGGCCCCTTGTCCAAAAAGTAGGAGTTTCAAGATGGTGACCGCAGAGCATTAAATCGATTGTGGGGCCTGCCTGGCTGCCCGGTTGGTGGTCGGGCCAGCAGCTGGCTGGCTGCCTCCTGCACAGCTGCCCCCCGCATCCCACCACCACGGAAGGTCGCATGCACGGTGCTCTCTCTGGGATCTAGACTCAATTTTGAAATGCTTTTGGGCTTGTTTCTGGTTTGTTGAGGTTTCTTTACTCCTCCCATCATAGGAGTTTTGATACTGACTTTTGCCCCAGAATGGGTCCCTGCTTCACTATGCGTATCCTAGACATGCAAGCCTCGGCCTGCCCTCACTGGCTCGTCTGTGGTACTGCTCAGAGCAGCGTGGCATGGGCACATGGAGGGCGCCTGGGCCTGGACATCGGGGGATCTGGGGCTGTGGGTCTGGCAAGCATCAGGGGGCAGGTCTTGGGCCTCGGTGGAGGGGAGGAGTGGGCGGGTGTGGCCACAGGAAGAGGCCTAAGGTGGCAAGGCTGTGGTGGGGGGGCATGGCAGTTCCCTCGCATGGGCTGACACCTCTTCTTCCCTGCTCCTTCTTCTGGCTCCGGGTGGCCTAGTGGTGGAGAGCATGGGTGCTGATTCCAGCTGACTGTCATTGCAGCTGAGGGACTGTGCACGGGGCACTCGCCCTCTGCAAGCCCCCGACCCTGGGACAGGAATACCACCTGGTGGGACCTCTGTGATTCAGGCCAGGGCAGCCTTCGATTAACAGGTTATACCATTATCCCAGAGAGTGTCTCCAGGACAGGGACACCCCATCCCTGCCCGCGCTCTGAGTTTGCCTCTGCTTGGCTCCTGAACCCCCTGCCTGCCCTGACCGGGCTCTGGTCCTTACCTCTCACAGCCGGGTCCAGGTGCGAGGGCAGGAGGGCTGCGGGGTGGCAGGTGGGCTGTGGCCAGTGGGTGGTGGCACTGCCGGTGGGCTCCGTGCAGCTGTGGTCGAAGGGCTGGCTATTTAAGGAGAGGAGGGGAGGCCGCAGCCCCTCTGGCCCTGAAAGGCCGCTTCATTCCGAGAGGTTCCTTGTGTGGTGGGCCACTCCTACGGCTGTCTCTGCTGCCACTGGGTCGTGAATATTTCAGTGTGTCCCAGCCCGCGTGTCCCCCCCGGCCCCCCCAGCTTGGCCACTGAGCGTCACAGAGGCTGAGTGTGTGACTGTGTTGGAAGCCGTGGAGTGGGCGCGGGCTGGGCGGGGGGACTGGCCAGGCCTGACGGAGACAAGAGGACGTTTCAGCACAGGGTAATTTCCTACCGTTGGGGGGCAGGGAGCGGCTGGCCGCCATGGCAACGGGCCTGGGCTCCTAAGCCTGCTCGGGGACTGTAGAGGGGGTCTTGTGAATGGGGAGGCTGGGAGGTTGAGGAGCCTTGTTTGGTCGAATGAGAGGGGACTCTTTCAGGACACTTGCTGTAGGGTCCTTGTGTCTTGCCCCATATAATGAGGCTCCGTTCGGACGTGCGGAATAAATCATGGCCTTTCTCTTGAGCGGGGCACAGCTGCAGGCCGCCTCATAATGGGGCGCTGTCTGTGCCTGTGGGGATGCCGCTTAGCCCACGAGGCCTGGCCCTTACCTGGGCGGGCTCCTCCTCTGGACAGGAGGCCTGTGAAGACGACCACTGCTGCCCACTGCCTAGGAGTCCCCAAGACTCATCCTGGGGGTGGCTCGAGGCTGGGGGGTTTGGGATGTGGATGGTGGCTGCTCCTGAGACCAAGCAAGCAAAGCTCGTTTCCCCCCGTCTTTCCCCAAATGATATATACAGTAACACAGGGAACCAAATCACCACGCCCAATCTCGAAAGCCCTTTGCAGTTTTTAGTTAAAACATTAAAAAAATGTACATAGCTATCATTGGGAAGTAACTACCATGTGTACTATCTTAAATCTGTTTTTCACACAGTCCTCTGCAGTTGGGATTATTGCCCATTTTACAGATGAGGGAACAGGCTCAGAGAGGTGAAATAACTTGCCAGGAAGTGGCAGAGCCAGGATTTGAACCCAAGCATGTGTCGCTCCAAAACTTATGATTTGTGTGTGTTAATGTTTTGGTTCGTTCTGGTTTTCTGTTGCACCTTGATGCCGGAATTCTTAGGTTCCATCTTCATTCTACCTAGAAAAGAATTCTGCAGTTTGCCTTTAGATCTGGTGTTGGGATCTGGTCTGTTGAAAAGACATTGCCCCGTGTGCCTGGGGGACTCAGTCAGTTAAGCGTCTGCCTTTGGCTTAGGTCATGGTCTCAGGGTCCGGGGATCGAGTCTCGCATCAGGCTCCCTGCTCAGTGGGAAGTCTGCTCCCCCTTCCCCACAAATAAATAAACAGAATCTTAAAAAGAAAAGACGTTTCCCATCTGGGGTTCCTTGTGGGGCACTGGGCTCAACAATTTGGTCTTGGCTGGGAGCCAGTGGGGTTCGCAGGCGAGTGACCAGAGCCCGGCCCCTCCCCTGTGCTGCCCCGCGTGGAGGTCTGAAAGGACCGGCTCACACGGATTTGATATGAGGGTGTGTGACTGGCTACTCCTGTTGTTGGGTGATGGCAGATGGTAGCTGTGAGGGCATTGATCATTGCAGCAGAATTCTGGGGAGTTGTGCTAATGTCTCTAGCTTTGAAATGAAAGTTATTCCATATGACTTGAGTGTTGTTGTAATGCTAAGAGTAGTCACCAAAATTGGGAGTGGGGTCATAGGGAATAAATACTGTGTCTGTGACAGAGACACAAGCAGGTGGCGGGTGTGGTGTGGACAGGGTGAACCACAGTGATCTGGCGGCTGGGGGAGCAGCTCTGCTTGGGCCTGCTGTGGCAGGGGGTCTGGGTGGCTGCAGGGGTGGGGATCTGGGGACCAATGGGGCAAAGCCTTAGTCAGGGAGATGAAGACTACAGCGACAGGCCACGTCTGTGTCCCGTGGGTGGGTGGAGTCAGGTGGCCCCGGTGAGGGGACTGGCCTGGCTGTATTGTCATGGGAGATGGTACCCACTGTCTCTTGCCTTCCTCTCTTCTACAATCATTCATTCACTCACGTACCAGAGACTCAGCCTGAGCTGCTACCCTGTGTGGCACACAGCCCGGAGCCAGTCAGCAGCTTAACAAGTTTACCGGGCACTCATTTGGGCCCCTGGGTCTTCCCACCTGCTGGGGAGAGAAGACACAAATAAGGCAAGCAGACAGCAGTGTTAAGCTGCGGGGAATCCAGACCCCAGTGAGGTGGCAGACGTTGTGGTCGCAGCCATGGACAGTGAGTTGGCCTCCCTGGCATCTAGGATCTGCCCATCACACCTGGTTGGAGGATCCTGAGTCTGACAGTTAATCTCTTAACTAGATTCCTTGATCTGCCTATAAAAGAGGCTGACTGTGGGTACCAGGTCCCCGTAGAGAGGCTCCCTGTGGATGGGCGCCTGGGAAGGCAGGAAGGGAGGGCCCGGATGCATCAGGATAGCTTACAGACTGGGGTGGCAGGTGGGGGATGGGAGTAATGGATTGGGGCCTCTGTACATCTTTGCTTGGGGACCCTGAATCTAAATTCCTGCCACCTTTGAGGCACAAGGAAACAGAAACCATGTTGATTTCTCTCTCAGTAGAGACCACAGCTGTTGCCCGATGCAGGGAGTAGCATCAGAAATTACTCTGAGGTCTTTACAAAAAAGACTCTGTAATGATAATTCCTGGGTTTGGGGGCCTCTGTCTGACACAGCTGTGCTTGTCTTTGGAGACAGAAAGCCTGTAGATGTACGGGTCTCTCTTTGTCTGACAGACCCCAAAGGAAGGGGGTGTGCAGGCCAGACAGACCTGGCCCTCCTTGGCCGCTCTGCTGGGCACAGTGGGGTTTTCGAGCTGACAGTCACTATTCAGTTACGCACCCATGTTCAGAGACATTTGAAAAATAAAATTAATTTTTCAGCAAATGGCAGTGAAATGTCTACTCTATTCCATATGATGTCCTAGGCTCAGAAAAAGTGGGGAGAAGAAAACTATCCTCAAGTTAGACGATCTGTATGGCACTTGGTGTAAGGCTGCCTCCCTCAAGAGTAACTACAACCTTCCCATGCTTAAGATGCTTAATACATACCTTAGCAGAATCTTGAAAAGTCCAGAGATCCAAAGAGCCCTCCGAGCACCACGCAAGAAGATTCATCGCAGAGTCCTGAAGAAGAATCCACTGAAGAACCTGAGAATCATGTTGAAGCTAAACCCATATGCAAAGACCATGCGCCGGAATACCATTCTTCGCCAGGTCAAGAATCACAAACTCCGAATGGATAAGGCAGCAGCAGCCTTAGAAGCCAAATCAGATGAGAAGGGGGTTCCAGGCAAGAAGCCTGCTCTGCCATCCAAACACCAACATTCTGGTGTATTTCTTTCTAGTCATTTTCCAGTGCCCCTTCCATTTTCCATTTTCCAAAGTCCCCTTTTGAGAGGGCACGTCTGTAGCCTTCCTGGCCCCAGGATTATTTAGCTAGCTTTTCTGGACCACTCGCTGAGCCTCTGGAAGCTTATGGGCATTGTTAAAGCTGCAGGCAGGAGTCCAGGGGTCTCTTCTCCCAGGAGGTGGACCATGCTGTCTGGGGAGGGGGAGAGGGAGTGGGCAGTTGGCCCCTAATACCTGCCTCACTTCCCACAGGCACCTGTGCCGGCCTTGCCACAACCGGGAGAAGGCCAAGGGTCTGGGCAGGTATGTCTGTCAGCGGTGCCATCTGGTCATCGATGAGCAGCCCCTTATGTTCAAGAATGACGCTTACCACCCGGACCACTTCAGTTGCACCCACTGCGGGTATGTGCACGGCTGAGTCCCTGGGCCAGGGGCAGGTGGTGAGCCGGGTGGGACCCCCACCTGGGGCAGTGATGGGACAGGAGGGGTGGGCAATTGGAGAGGGGGTGCAGGGCGGACATAGAGGGCATCGCTGCAGGAAACGCCTCTCTCCAGGCCCCTGTTCAGGGAGCCCTTGCGTGAGGCCCCGCTGGATGAGGGAGGGCTGGGCCCCTGGAAGCTGGGAGGGAGGAATCATAGGCTTGGAGGGCCAGGGCAAGGAGGAGGGGTTGGTGCTGGTGTTGGAGAGGGGAGGAGAGGGGAAAGAAGCTGCAGAGCATTCCCTCATCCCTGTCCCAGACACCCAGTCTGGTGCGGAGGAGCCAGAGAACAGATCTGCTTCTCAGAGGGCCTGACAATGCACAACACAGACTGCCTTCTGCGAGGCCTGTGCGGGAATCTTGTGCCCCGGGGCCTGTCTGGGGCACAGGAAGTCCCCGAAGAGCCCAGAGATCAAAGAGCCGCCTGCCCTGGGCACTGTGTTGGACTGGAGCGGGGCCTCTCCGGAAGCTGCTCCCTGGGGCTGGAGGGGCTGGTGGGACCCGCCAGCGCCAGCGCAGGCCCTGCAGAGGGGCAAGGATGTCACCTGGGGCTCCTCTCTGTCTTCCAGGAAGGAGCTGACTGCAGAGGCCCGAGAGCTGAAGGGTGAGCTCTATTGCCTGCCCTGCCATGACAAGATGGGCGTCCCCATCTGTGGGGCCTGTCGCCGGCCCATTGAGGGCCGTGTGGTCAACGCACTGGGCAAGCAGTGGCACGTGGAGGTGAGCAAGGCCGGGGAAGGGGGCTCACTTATATTCGGAGTCTGGCCCTGCAGCCCCTCCATGCTCCCACCCCAGGCCATGTGGCTTGCTCCTGGCAGGGACCTTCCTCCTGGGTGCTGCCCCTCCTCGTGCCTGGCCTCTACGGGAGCCAGGAGACCTGAGTGCACAGGCCACGGTCAGGCAGCCGTGCCCACCTTCTTTCCTCCCCGTCCTGGCCTTCTAGAGGATTCCAAAGTCATGAGAAAACCTTGGGGACAGTCTGTCTAAGACACCCTGTGGGATTATGGTTGGCAGAACTGGCTGTGCACAGCCTCACGTAGACGTGGAAGCTGGGCGCACCTGCTGGCTGAGCTCCTCAGGTGTGTCTGCCTGCATTACCTGGAACATTCACCTCTACACTATGGGCTCTAATGGTCTTACAGACACTCGTTGGAAGGGAGGCTTGTGTTCCCTGATGCCCTGACTAGGTCTGTGTCCCAGAAGCTCTGTCTTGGGTTCTGATGCAGGCCCTGGTCCCCGGCCCCCACGAGGAGGGTGAACCCCCACACACCATAGGAACCGGAAGATGCTGCCGCTCAGTGACCCAGGGCCTGCAGGGGATGCCCACGGGAAGCAGACACATGCAGCCTTCTGTGGGGGGGGGCACCCTGCTTATAACAGAGCGGCCCTAGCGGGGAGGGCGCACAGTGCACCAGGCACCTCACCAGCACCTGACGGCTTGGGCCGAGGTTGCTGAGGTGGGGAGCAGCCCTGGAGGGAATGGTGATGCGTGTCACTGTGCACCAGGGAAGGACTGGGGTCTGCTGACTCATGGGCGGTCCGTGGAGGTGTCAGCCCCACGGCCCAGCAGTGAGGCCAGTGAGGCACCCCATCCCCTATCTCCCGGGGTGGGGGTGAGGCTCCAGCCCTGAGCTGCCCTGCCTGCCCCCTCTCCTCTCAGCACTTTGTCTGCGCCAAGTGTGAGAAGCCATTCCTGGGGCACCGGCACTACGAGAAGAAGGGCCTGGCCTACTGTGAGACCCACTACAACCAGGTAGGGCCCGGGGGGCAGAGGGTGGATGGGCAGGGTCTGTGGAGGCCCGGGTCTGGAGGGCGGCTGTGGGGCCGTGGGGAGCCCTCAGGGAGGTGATGTGGGGTCAGTGACCAGAATGCTGCAGGCACCCATCTGGGTAGGAGAGGACGGGGAGAGCCCCTCCAGAGCCTGTGGTGGGTGTGGAGGCTGGGCTGTGTGCTCAGTGCCATTTGAGACCCTGGCCCAGACCTGCTGTGGGGACTGAATGAGAGCACTGTGTGAGGTCCTGGGCTCATGGGGGTGGCATATGCTGCCATCCTTCCCCTTTCTGCCAGTCCAGCAGATCTGCCCAGTTGCTGTGGTCCAAAAGTCAGGGGGTACGGCCCTGGCCCGTCCCTCTCACCGACGCCAGCCGGAGAAACGGGGCCTTCCTGGGAACAATGCCTCAACCTGCTGTTGTCCCGGGGTGGTGATTCTGATGGGCCAGGGGCGCCCTCACCTCAGGCCTGAGACTGCACCCTGGCAGGAGGGACCCAGGAGTCTCGGGAGGATGCTTGAGAGCAGCTGTTTGGGGTGGGATGGGGGCCAGGTGGCAGCCTGCCACAAGTTTGACACCTGCTCTGTCTGCAGCTCTTTGGGGATGTCTGCTATAACTGCAGCCATGTGATCGAGGGTGATGGTAAGGCTCCTCTGTCCCTGGCCGCCCCCCCCCCCCCCCCCCCCCCCCCCACCGCGCGTGCCTGAGGCTGGCCCTCTAGCATGTGGGTCCTGCCGCTGCAGGCCTGGCCGGTCCTGAGCCAGCCTGGGCCTGCTCAGCCTGCCCACCCCCACCCCCACAGTGGTGTCAGCGCTCAACAAGGCCTGGTGTGTGCATTGCTTCTCCTGTTCCACCTGTAACAGCAAGCTCACCCTGAAGTAAGTGGTGCCGGCCTCCTGGGGTGTCCAGGGTGGGCGGAGAGGGACCTGCACTGCCTCTGCCTCCTCCTGGAGCCTGTCACGGGAGCTCAGATTTGGGTAGGCTTCCCAGGGGCTCGTCATCAGGCTTTCCCTGGGTACCTGCTGTGGTCAGGCCCTGGGGATGCAGTGGCAGCAAGGGGCAGCCCCAGCCCCACGGAGGCAGATCGAGGGGCCACCAGGGCAGGGTGAGAGCAGGAGCGACGTGAGCCTCCAACACACCAGGGAAGACACTGGGCTCTGAGGAGGGAAGGGCATTCCAGCTCAGGGAACAGCATGTTTGAAGGCAGAGGGGTCAGAACCACAGGAGGTGCAGAATGGCTGGAGCTGTGAGGTGAAGTGGAGCCCAGGTTTCTGAGGCCAGCAGGGAGTTGTGGACGGTTCTGGAGTACCAGAACCTTCTGGGAGGGAAAGGAGGCCTGGAGGCCTGATTCCTTGTCAACCGTGACCCCTGGCCAGAAGCTCACCCTGGGACCTGGACTGCTGTGGGCCAGGGGCCAAGGGAAGCCCCCTGCTCCGCCTCTGTAGGCTGAGTTGGTGGGGCCCGGGGGCTCTCCTGACTGCTGGACCTCCTCCGCAGGAACAAGTTTGTGGAATTCGACATGAAGCCTGTGTGTAAGAGATGCTATGAGAAGTTCCCACTGGAGCTGAAGAAGCGGCTGAAGAAGCTGTCGGAACTGGCCGCGCGCAAGGCCCAGCCCAAGTCCGTGGGCCTCAACTCTGCCTGAGCGGCTCCTGCCCGCCCTCCGCCTCCACGCCATCCCTTCCTGCTGGTGCCCCCTGCCCTTCGCTGCCTCCACTCCTCATCTCTGCTCCCTGTCTGTGGCCTCCCCCTCCTTCCTTCCTTCTGCCCCTCCTCCTCTCCTGTACCTCTTCCCCCCTCCCCTTCTTTCCCTCCCCCACCTCGTTCCCCTGCTCTCTTTGCTCACCACCCCGTTTTGCCCCTACTCCCTCCTCCCCAGGCCTCTCTTCTCTCCCTTGCTGTGGGCTCCTCTCTTTCCTTCTGTGCAGTCATGGGGCAGATGCAGGGCCCTTGAGCCTGTGACAGGCCTGTGCCCACAAGCCTTAGCTCCAGGTTCTCCGTGAGTGAATTAGGGCCTGGGGTCACCTGGCCCTGCTCATGGGCCACTGCTCCCAGCCCCGCTCATCCAGACCTGTCCCATTCCTTTAGGGGCACCCATTAGCTCACATCCTTCTGTGGGAGCTTGGCCAGCCTCCACCCCATAGTGGTCCCACTGTGCACACATGGCCCTGGGGAGGCCACAGCCAGGCAGCTGCTCCAGCCCCGTGACCCTGGCCATGAGGAGGGGGGCCTCTGGGGAACCACCCTTTGACCCTTGTTGACACACTCACCCAACCAAGTAGGATCCTTGTGCTTAAACTGCAACTGCACCCCACAAATCATTCTCGGAGGGACAAGGACCCCCCCACTCCCACCATCACTCAGGAGTCCTCCTTCCTGAAATCTGGCCTTGGCCACTCCACCCTGGGCCAGGGGCCACTGTGGCTCCCTGAAGCTCCTCTGTGGTCCCCGCAGCACCTCGGGCTCCCTGCTGCCTACACCCCCCCCCCCACCAAGGGCACATGCTGATTCTCTGGGTGCAGCTGACCGGGGGCCAGAAGGTAGTGAGGTTGGGTGGGTGACTCATTCTGACCCTCCAGGGCCAGCACAGGAACTGGTGCTTGCATGATGAATGAAGGCTTACCTAGACGACCACATGGCCGGTGTGGGTTTTGGCATGGGAGTGAGCAGGTGAGGCAGCAGCCCCCATGGACATACTGCTTTGGGGTCGTTGAATACTTAGAGAGATAGACACCGAACAGGACAGGTGAGAGAGATGTCCAGTTAGGAACCAGCTCTTGTTGGCAGGGCCAGGCTGCCATTGCGCCTTGGAGACCAGTCCAGCCAGAAACCTTCAGTCCACGAAGGCTGGCCAGGTGGGTAGGATGGAGCCCGCCAGCTTGGTGGGGATGAACCCAGGCCACTAAGGCCGTGCATCCAGCTCTGCTCACACCTGGGCACAGGCTGGCCTTCGCGTGAAGCCAGCAGCCAGAGAGCAGGCAGGCCTGGCCTGCACCTGCACCAGGCCCTCCTGGGAGCAGTTATGTGTCCCAGTGCCCTGTGGGGGAAGGAGAAAGGTGTGCAAAGGGGCCTCATAGGAAGAGGTGGGAGGGAGGGGAAAGCAGATGAAGGGAGGAGGGAGAGACCAATGAAGTCATTCACTGAGAATGGAGTTGTCATCCAGGCATCCCCAGAGAAGTCACAATGCTTTTTGCTTTTTCTGGAAGAGACCTTTTGCTGGCCAGTGCCTCCTAGGCCTCCTGCCCACCTGACCCGCCTTCTCTAACACATTGCACACTGCTTCAGGAATTTTTATTGAACATTCTTGGGGGAGTCCTTTCAGCCATCCACTCATCAACCTGGAGGCCTGGCACTCCCGGCCCCACCCTGGGCTCCCCAATTTGGCCTCCATGGTCAGCCCCTCAGGAGAGGAGGCCTACCTGGTGGGCTGAGGGATGTGGGTGTGTTCTGGAGAGAGGGCAGCATGAAAGGCTGCCTGCAGAGGGCAGGCTCTGGGCCAAGAAGAGGGCCTTAGGGAAGTGCCACCAGGACCCCCAATTGGGAAGGGTAAGTGAGTGGGCAGGCCAGCTCCCGGTGCTAAGGATTGGCCTGGGCTGGGGCCTGGGAGCCCCGCTGCTTGTTCATGGTGCTCAGGAGCTGCTGCACGTACGAGGTCAGCAGGTCATCCATCTTGTAGCCCTGGACAGGGGAAGGGTGGGGTTGGAGGCTGTGAGGGGCAGCAGCGGTGCCCTGCTTCTGCCTCAAGGACACACTGGACAGGAGGTGAAGAGGTGAGCAGGGCTCCTGCTACTGAGAACAGAGTCCTCCTCCCTCCTCAGAGTGGCCCAAGACCACAGGAGGCCCACACCAGGCCTTGCCACCACAGTCCCTGGATGACACTCCCAGCCTTTCTCTTGCTGCTCCCCCTTCCCAGACTCTGCTGGCCCAGCCTGGCCTAGCCCACCCTGGGCACAGGAAGCCTGGCCCTCATCGTAAGCCACTTCCCTGGTGGCAGTCTGGGGTCAGGGTTAGGGAAACGTAGTCCCTGGTGCCTCTGTGTGCTGTGTGTCTGGGTTGGGGGAAGGGACCTGGGATGCCCAGGAGGCCCCCAGGTCTGGGGCTCACCAGAGAGGTCTCACACAGCAAGCGGCTGCCCCGGGCCAGGCTCCCCAGCGCCATGTGGAAGTAGGTGCTGCCACTGCTCCAGCTGGAGATCTTGGTGAAGGGGTAGGTGGAGAGCAGTTCCTGGGAGGCAGAGTGGGCAGGGCGGGTAGGACCCAGCTGAAGCCCAGGGGGCCTAGGGGCCCCGAGTCTGAGCTGCTGCTCTGGGGTCCTCCAGAGCCCACGGGGCCGTGTGAGTGGGGGACAGAAGGGCAGGGGTGTACCACCTGTGCGGGGGTATGGGACCCTGGCAGCTTCCCCAGCCCTGCCCGGGCCCTGCTGCTACCTTGGTCTTGGGGTGGATAAGCAGAACCCCGTGCCGGTTGATGGCGATGAGGATGATGTCCGGGTAGGAGGGCTCTGAGGTTTGCTGGGGAGGGGGGCACCGTGGTCATAGCCCAGCCAAGGAGGCCAGGGGGCCACCTCCCTGAGGCACACACATGCACACACATGCACACGTGCTCCTTCCAAACCAGGTGGCCAGGCCCGCCCCTAGATGTGAGTTGAAAGAGGAGCTAGTCCCTTCCCCCAACCCAGACACACTAGCCACAGAGCCGGGTGAAGCCTACCTTCACCTCGAAGAAGGCAGACCCAAACGTGGGCCACCGGCAGATCCATTTGAGGAAGGCCACTTTGGCCTCCTGTACTGTCTTGTCCTTGTGCTTGTCATAGGCCAGAAGGATGTTCTGGGGGACGTAAGGGCCAGTGAGGGCCTGAGTGGGGGCCAGGGCCTGAGCAGGCCCTCCACACAGGGTCCCTGAGGCCCCAGTCCAAAGTAGCACCTGTGTGCCTGTGGCCAGTCTGGAGGCCACTTAGAGCCACACTCTGTGTCCTCTGCACACAGAGAACCCATCTCTGAGGTGCTGTGGACAGCATGGGGAAGGGCTGACACTCACAGACCCAGCATACCCTCCATGCCCAGAATGTGCTCATCTTGCCCAGGTGGGGCCCAGCCCCCAGGTACCCCAGGGCCCCCTCCCCAGCTGCATCAAAGACCTTTTTCCATTCCTCCGAGGACATTAGACGTGTGAGGTTCTCAGGCACAAGTTCCCGCAGGATCTTGGGGATACTAGCTAGCTGGGACCGGTCATTGTCAAACTGGGCCTTGTAGATGAGGCCTGCCAGGTGGACAGCATCCTCCCGTGCACACTTGTGGAACCCACGAAGGTACTTGGGCAGCTCCTGAGTGATGGACACGTTGGCTTTAGGCAGCTGCCCCTGACCCTTCGTGCTCAGGTGGCAGGGGACAGAGGGGAGGGTTTCTGGCAGGGGCAATGACCATCAAGTCAGGGCTGGGCTCCCGGACGTCTCACCGTGGAGGTGGTGGCCTGCCCTACCCCTGAGTAGTCGGGACCCTCCGTTCCCCCTGCCCCTTCCCAGCAACCACACTGCAGGCGCTGGTATAGTCACTGTCCCCAAAGGCTGTCCCTCTGCTCCTGGCTGCGGAACCCTCAGGGGTTCAGCCTGCACACCACACGGGGCCTCAAGGGCCTCCAGAAGCCCCTGGAGGTTGGGGGGCGTGCCCCGGAGCAAGGCGGCTGGGAGCTGCTGCTTCCTGTACTACCTCTCAGGGCGCGTACGTGACGGAGTGAAGGCGGGCCCAGATACCCACCAGGAGAGGGCCCACCCAGGTACCTGGTGGTAATGAAGTATGGTGTCTGCGTTTATGTCCTTCCCCGGGGTCACGTTGAGCCACAGTTTCCGCATGAAGTACACCCGGTAGGGGAGCGTCACGGGGGCCCCTGGGCAGGGGGCGGGCAGTGAGCACCAAGGCTGACCTCTGGCCCAGCAGGCACTTGGACCTGTGCTCCCCTCCCCCTCTTGTGGCCAGGGCATTCTGCCCACCCCCCCCTGGAGCACAGGGCCTGCAGCACCCGCGCCTTGATGTACCCCCAACCCCGCATCACTGCTGTATTTGCTCCTGCGGCCTCCCCTGCTGGAAAGCCTCATCCCCTCTTCCTCCCTGACCCCCGACTCTTCCTCATCCTTCAGGAGTAGTGTAGAGGCCACCCCCTCCAGGGTGTCAGGCCCCCACATAGCCTTCATCGCCGGCAGTCCAACCATCTGTTCTAGGCCTCGCCCCGTGCCCTGCCCCTGCCTGCCTGGCCCGAGGTCTAGCCACAGCCATGACCCAGGGGATATAAGGGGGAATGAATGAATGAATGGGCAGGGGCCATGCAAGAGGTGCCAGGGGAACCTTCTGACCCTGGCCCAGGAAGGCAGACTGTCCCTCCCCCACCCCCGCCCCCTCCATCCCAGCCACATCCCTCCTTCCTTGCCCCCACGCTGCTCCCCTTACCTTCTTTCTGGGGTTTGTTTTTCTTCACCCAATCAGACACTTGCCGCAAGGAGTCAAAGAAGAAGTCTCCCTCCTTCTGGCTGATGACCTGGGGTGGGTGGGGAGGAAGGCAGAGGGACGTGTGCAGGTAGAAGGGCTGCCAGGGGAGAGCCCTCCTGGGGGTGCCAAGGGCCTGTGTCCGGCCAGGCCATCTATGGCCTGGGAGGGTGGGCGCCGCTCAGAGTTGGCTCTCACTTGCCCCCACATCGTGCTGCTCCATAAGCTCACCTCCCTTCATCCTGACAGCCCGTGTGCAGTGAGGGGCCTGGCCCAGTACACGGGGGAGAATGCCACATACACCAGACACATGCCCGCCTTTCCCGCCACCCCTGGCCC